TGCCCGAGAAGATGTATTTTTTTTTTTTTACAAAAATTAAAAATTCGACTCAAAATTTGTGTTTGAGTTGAGATGAAATCACCCGTATTTATTCCACCCTCTCCCTCGGGGGAAAAAAAAAAGCATGTGTATGTTGTTAAAAAAAAATATCGCTGTTGGAGCCCTAGGGAAAGTAGAATGCTTCTCTTTTCGCAAAGCCATGCCATTTGAGAATGAGCGCGTGTTCCCTACCGGTTCTCCCGCCAACAGAGAACTTTGCTTTCTCAGGTCTCAGGATCGTGGCGGCGAAATGCAGGGCGGCATCCCGGGCCCAGCGGCGAACAACCCTTGTGGCCTCAGGGCCGTCTCAGAGATACGTATCCTTTGGACGCGAGACGCAACGCGTGAAGGGATGTTCCCAGCACCCGAGTCCGAACAGGACACGTTTTTTTCAATCTCACAGCATTTGCTGTACCGGAGCAAGTGGAGGTTTTGTTTTGACTCCGGCCCGCTTTGAGGCGTTCTTTTGTTTTCCTCCTTTATTTTTTTCCTTTTTACGGAAAAAAAGGGGGGGGGGGAATGGGCGTACCAACCGGGGGCGAGGGCAAGGGGGGCGGTCGCCCCCCCCAGTTCTCAGAGTTGGGGGGCGGCAAGGTATGTGTTTTGCCCCCCCCCCCCCCCCCCCCCCCCTGAAACAGCCGCCACCGATAAACTCTGGCCGGCGGCGCCCGAGGGAGACCAGGGGCCATCGGCTTTCAGAACTCACACTCAAACTCACATTCAATGGTTTTCACAACTCACGATCACACTCACGGTCAAACTCACGCTCACGTGTTCGCAGGACTCGCACTCACACTCACAATGATGAGTTCTCAGTACTTACGATCACACTCGCGATCAGACTCACGCTTGTGAGTTCTCAGGACTCACACTCACACTCACACTCATGAGTTCACATAACTCATGATCACACTCGCACTCACACTCATGAATTCACATAACTCACGGTCACACTCACGCTCACACTCACAATTTTTCGAGACTCGCGGTCTCACTCACGATCACCTCAAATCTGACGGTGAGCGTGAGTGATTGTGAGTGATCGCTCTCATGAGTGAGAATGCCGAGGTATGCGAGGGGCACCGCCTTCTGGCCCTGGGCCGGGGGGGAGGGGGGGGGGTCTGGTTTGCCACTCCACTCAAAAACAAGTTGGTGCGCCACTGGGAGGGGGGGGGGGGTAGCTACTCTCCTCTTCCGTCCTTCGACAGATGCTTGGAGGGTGCTCATCATGAGGGTTCGGACAGTCACTCACCCGCTCTGCTGGCTGTCGTCAAAGCCTCGGCCGTTGTTTTAAGTGCCCAACCGCCCGAAAACAAGAAAAGGGAAGAGACGACAGCCAGGAGGTGAGGAGCAAAGCCGTCCTCCTTGCATGCTTCATGCAAGTTCATGTCCTCACTGAAAACCAGTGTTGTGTCCGTTACCGAAAAAAAGTAACGAAATAGCGTTACTCGTTAGATCGTTATAACGCGTTACCGAGATTTGTTACCTTCCTACAAACGTAAACAAGTACCGTTACCGTTGCTTTTGAGAACTAAGGAACGTTCCTTTTGCGTTAATTTAGATTTTAGTATTTGACATCGACAAGCCGCCGTTACAAACTTCGACAGTTACTTCCAACACCGCTAAAAATTTATGCGCCTGCAACAACAGCCACGTTCTTAAAAAAAAAAAAGAGAAAAACATTTTTTTTGCCTTTCACGGCATTTGCTAAGAGTGCAGCTGGACTTATGATTTTTTTTTTCTTTTAGAAGGGATTAGTAGCCCTCATCGGGCTTGAAGAGTCCTTGAAAAGAAAACTGGGAGCCTCAGGGTGTCAGCTGGCCTTTCGCTAAAAAGGCACGTGGTGAATAAGGTGGCCCGCAAGGGCCGCCACACCCTCTTCGTGTTCTTCGCGAAATTGTGGTTCGTCCTACCAGCTCCAGCTACGTTCGTGATTTGGGAGAAACACGCTCGTATTTCAATGTCGACGTCTGAAAGCGGAAGGATGTTTCGGAATTACTTTTAACTCAGAATGGGAGTCGCGCGACATAATTTTTTGCGCTATATTTTGTGTGATGTTTGTTTTGTGACGTGCTTATACTGCATAATCGCGCAACAAAAATCTTTCTTTTTTCTTGGGGGGAGGGGGGGGGGGCTTTAAAGGACTGTCTGTGAGCATGCCTGCGTGGCGCCCCACTCTCCCCCTCCAAATTGCTGTGCCTCCGCCTTGCGTAAAGTGATTATGTTTTGTGTATGTTTAGCATAGTACTGTACCTTGCCAAGACTCACTCATGTGTTTTGGCGAGGTATAAGGGGGCCATGGATGCCCATGACCACTGACTTACCTCACTCAGCCTTACCGGTCAGGCGGTGAGGTGAGGGTGAGTGAGCTCATAAGCCTCGAAAACTCATGAACTTGAGTTGAGTGAGCGGCGTGAGTTCCGTAAGCTCATGAGTTCGGTGAGTGTATGAGTTCGGTGAGTTCATATATTTGGTAAGTTCATAAGTTCGGTGAGGGGCGTGAGTTCGGTGAGTTCATGAGTTGGGTGAGGGGCGTGAGTTCAAGAGTTCATGATTTCGGTGAGGGTCGCGACTTCATGAGGTCGGTGAGTTCATGAGTTTGGCGAGGCATAAGGGGGCCATGGATTTGGTGAGGGCTCACGGAGTAACGTCGAGGAAGGGCAGGTCATGTGACTTCTCCGTACATTTCCGGAGAAATTGAGTCGACACTCGCTTCGCAATGGCGCTGTTAGCTCGTACAGTACGAGCCAAAGGTACGGGCGGTCCTCTACGAGAGATGGGAAAGGAGGAAAGGTGCCTATTGATTTATCTGCGCTCTTCGACTCCGGCTCGAGTCGCGCCGGCTTGGCGCGGTCTTTTGTCGCTGGTCGCTGCCTCGTGGCTCGATGATGAGAGAAGGGACAGTGGTTTTCCGCTCGCCTCGGCCGCTCTCGTGTCGACTGTGAGGCACCGATATACGCGCGGCGTTTTGTTGTTTCGCGAAGGAGGAAAACGGGCGCTACGCCGGCACGCCTGAAGGCAGACGTTGCTATTTCGGGTGCGCTCGTTTTATGCACGTTCGATACTTTTGAAGCCAATATAAAAATGTAAGTTTGCTGGGAACTGCCGCGATTCGCCTGTATACTTGTTTGTTCAAGCTGTAAGCTAAAGTTCTGTAAAAAAGAAAAAAAAAAGTACGCAAACGCCGGATTTGTTTGCAATTGTGTTCAAAGGCTGCTACATTTATTTGGTAGGATATAAAGGTTGCATTCAGAGATACGAAATAATATACAGTTTTTTTTACTTTCACCTATTTTTGGCGATAACAAATCGACGTATTTTCCTGCTATCCCACACACCGTTAGTCGCTCAAGAGGAGGCCATTGAGCATAGACGGAATACTGACTGCACCCGAAAACGTTTCGCGTGCCGGAGAAAGAATCTTCTTACTATAGCTACAATAGTATTAGGTATTACTATTAGTTATGATTCATACACCGGTGCACGTCCCCGTCGTTTACGAGGAGCGCTATTTGTCTTTTTAGCTACGATTTACATACGAGTAAATAACAGGGGGGGGGGGGGGAGTGGAGAGGGGTAAGATCCAAGTCCAAGTCATTATATATAGAGTATTTGGTATGCATGCATGCGCGTGCGTGCACGGAGGCAATCTTCCCCGCCCGAGGAAATTATGCGCCCCAAGGTTTCGTATCTAACAAAAAGAAATCTCGAAGTTTGGTTAAGTTGCATATCGCTCCCTTCCCCTCCTCAAATATAGCGTGGATATCCGAATTAGGCTGTCAATAGTTAGAAGTGAAGTAATACAAATATCGCAAGTAAAAGAAGGTGCGCCTACACCAGCAGCCCGTTTATATACTGAAATTAGTGAACATATAAAAAAATTAGCATCCATTAAAATCTAATAAATAATTTTAACAGAAAACGCAACTTTGTACATGTGGTTTGTAGATATTTGTATTCGACATATCGACCAGTTTGAACACAAACACACATCGTCTAGGAAACAAGAATGCCGTAACCATCTGACACCGATCACGATTTTATGTCAGGATCCATAAAGTATAACATTTTACGAGGCACAGGGTCGATCTAAATTAGAACGTTCCAGTTTTAATTGGTATGTGCGGTGCAACAAAAAACAAGAGACACGATTAAAAAAAAATCTATCAGGGTACGAACGCAGTTCTTCAATCGTTCCTTCTTCCAGAAAACAAAATACCCACCAGGCCGTTATTTTACGTGAAACAATTTTCGTGAACGACGATAAATATAAAGACAGACTGTTCCGAAATAGTTCTACTTGACAACGGATTGCCGAGCAAACCGTCCTACCATTAAGGAGAAGTTCGAAATGATCTATGGAGAAACAAATACACACCCACGGTGGTGCGTATTTGGAATAATTATAATTCCCACCTGGAATCAACAGCGATGCACACGCTCCCTCCATAGTTGCATGAAGTTGTCGCGAATGCTCGAAACAAACAGTGCCTTCTTCACAAGACTCGCGATGATGCGCCCTTGTATCCCAACGAAGTGCGCCTTCCTCAAGCACTCGGCCGGTGCGCCGAAGGATTCGAATCGAAACAAAAAAGACCAAACATTTGTTCACTTGACGATGTGACGGCTGGCGCAGTAGCGGCGGAAGACGGCATCGACCGTGGCAAAGTTGTAAAAGTCGCGTAACCCGCGCGCAACACGAGCGCCAGCGCCGCGGCTAAGGTGAGGGCGAGAACTACTGAGTGAGTGCGATCGGTGAGTGAGTGAGTTCATGAGTTTGATGAGGGGCGTGTGTGTGTGAATTTCGGGGAGGGGCGTGAGTTCATGAATTCAGTGAGTTCACAAATTCGGTGAGTTCATGAGTTGGTGAGTGACGATTTGAAGGTGAGTTTGCCCGTGAGGGTGAGTGAGTTTTAACTTCATTTTTTTGAGCTAGCTGCGAGTGGGTGAGTTGAATAAAAATGCCGACTTCTGGTGTTTTGACAGCGGGAAGTATAATCAGAGCCAGTGGACGTGTTCGATGGCTCCGCTGTAGATGAAACATTTAGCCAGTGCATAACGCATGAGTGGCACACGTCCGCACGCCGGTGCGATGCTCATCCAGATCGAAAAGGGCAAGGGTGGCGGTTAAACCCTGGAGCTCTGGGCTCTGCGGCGCAAGTTTTCGCTTCTTATGCTCTCACCTATGCGTACATACCTCCACGCGTGCATTCGGTGGGTCGCGCGCACCGAGAGAGTCTTTCCTTGACGGCGTGCCCCCAGCCCAGCGGTACCGGTGCTTCTTCGGCGGGTTTCCCTTCTTCAACCGCGTGCAATCGGCCGTGCTGGATGAGGTGAGAGGCAGCCGGCAGTGCCGGCAGTGCCGTTGCCCCAAGACCCTGCAGGACTGTACATTGCAGTGATCTCAAACTCATTTGAGTGTGGTAGCCGCCTAAACCGGAAAGGTCGATCGAGGGCCAGCGTAAGACGGACTGGGGGGAGGGTTCAAAATATTTAAAAGAGAAGAGACCTCGTGCTTTTCTGACGAGTTTTATTACAACACTCTGAACAAATACTTATCTTTTAACCCTCTGGAGTCACCTACCTATATTCTCGTTCTGGACAAGTGTGAGGGCTTCTCCGACAGGCCCATTTTTTCTTTGCGGCCAAGTCTTCCGACAATTTCAACTTGCGCCATCTCTTATCGGGTATGTATCGTGTATCGGGTATTTTATTTTTTGTACATCCATGTATATATATTTTTAAGGTGACAATCCGGAGCTTGTAGCTTTAACTTTAGCAGTCGCTCCTGCTGATCAAGAGTTCGCGCAGTCGAGATGCATCCTTCAATGAAGAGCTCGCGTTTGCATGAGTTCTTCATTGCAGCAGAGCAGAATTGTTGCAGCAGAGCTGGGAAGAATTAACAAAGCAGAATTGTTGTAGATGACAAAAAGCTGGCAGGCAAAAAATTAGGCGAACCAAAGAGCAAACGAACACCGATAAGTGTAAACTAAGTTATGTTGAAAGAGCAGAGCTACATTTCGGGGGAAAATGATTTGGCGACACAAGATCCCTATGGCGCATGCCATTTCTAGCGCTCGAGACATGGGATCTGAGACTCGTAGCCGGTTTCCTGCGGGCCGCGTCCCAGCAGGTCGCGGGCCGCGTGTTTGAGACCCCTGGTATATTGTGTGCCTAGATTTCAGAGTGTTTTTAACTGTTCGATGGGGGCCACGGTTGATGAGGCGCGTTTGCAGTACGGGCTGCGAGGAGCTGACAACGGCACGCGTGCAGTTTGATCGCAATCGCGGTCAAACTGCACGCAGTTTGATCGCGATTCCGATCAAACTGCGCTGGAGGCGTCCGCCACGAAGTCGCCGCTTGGCGAATCTCTCAGATGGCTCTTTTGGGCAAAAGGTTGTAAGGGAATTTTATTTTCAACCCAACTACGGCAGACATATCTATTATTCCCTGAAGGATTATACGGGACAATGATACGATATAAAAACAATGGTATTTATAACTTCATGAACGTATACCTTGTATTCCTCTAGCCTCAACACATTTAACCTTCGGAGCATTTTGAACGTCTGCCCTCCATAGTGAATAACAATAATAATCCTGTGAGTTGTAATAGGGTCGGACTCAGAGCATGCATCCGAAATAAATTTCACAGTTCCAGTAAAAACATTTTACACTTAAAATGAAAGGCAACGGAATGTTTTGCTATTGTGCCTATGCACCGCGCTCGCTTGACGTTGGGGAACGGGACAGCTGGAGCGGAGATGGAAAACTTTAAATCGTATCCAAATTAAATGTTTTTCGGATCACCTTGAAGTGCGCTAATTTAGCGTTTTTTCTTACGCCGAGAAAGTTTCCGGACATCATCGAATTTTCTACTAAAAGTTAAATTTATTAACAAAAAAGGCAATATTACCCAAAACTAATCAAGCACTTTATCATAGTGAAAGTTATTAGACTCCCTAAATAGGCCCTTTGGCAAAAAACAATATGATATCAACCTTTTTTTGTGTGTGTGTGGCATGCGTGCCTCTTGAAAAGAGGATCTGACTAGCGTTCCGTCTCGTATAGGGATTGCTGGATTCCACGTCTTAAGACGGAATTTTTTCTCTTATGCAACACACGACGCTATCCAGTGCTTATGGGCGAGGCGGAATAGCGCGTGAACAGACCGGCAAGTCATTCTGGATGCCAAAAGGGCTCTGGTGCACAGGTGCTGCACAGCGACCGTCCTCTGGTGGTGAGTGCTCCGACGGGCTCCGGCAAAACGGCCATCCTGGAACTGGCCCTGGTGCGACTGCTCATGCAGCGGCCGGCCTTAGACTTCAAAGCCCTGTACGGTGAGCGAGTGGGAACACAAGGAAGGTAGGCAATCTGCCCAATGAGCCAAAAAAAAAAAAATTAAGTGGTTGCAATTGCCTGATCGGGGATCGCCACACGGCAACGCACGCACGCATGCGTATGAGCAACCAGGTGTCTGGCATTAAATTGCAAGCGTTTGAGTCGCTCGTACCGCGGCGAATGAGGTTAGGGAGTTTTCGTCGATTGTTTCCGCTGTCCCACGATGTTCTCATGCGCGGTAGCGGAGTCTTCGTTTCGTAGAGCGTAACGGAGCTGGAGAAACGGTCTACGAAAACTCCCTATTAGAGAGTTTTCGTAGATTGTTTTCACTGCACCGCTGAGCTCTCCACAACGAAGACGCCGCTACTGCGCATGCGCGGCGCTAGCCTTGCCTGTAAAGTCCCGAATCTCGTAGCGGGTTACGGTGGACGTTGCGGCGTAGCGGAAACGATCCACGAAAACTCTCTATTGTTGCATTAACCGGTAAGAAAGCCGAAAGACCAATTAGGAAGCAGGAGGTGCGAAGCTAACAAGCCACACATTTCTTAAGTTGTCAGCAGAGGGCGTCCTTTTCAGAAGTTACGTAGAAAGTGGCAAAAGAGAGTACCAAGGCACAGCAGCTCCCTCCGGTGCAGTGGTTCCGCTGAAGGCCATCTGCCGGGAGCGCCTGGAGGACTGGAGCCGCAAGACGGCCTCGCTGGGTCTGCACTGCGCCGAGCTCACGGGCGACACGGACGAGGAGGACCGCAGCGTGCTGCAGGAGGCACACCTCATCCTCACCACGCCCGTGAGCTCTCCCCACCACAGTGAACGTGTACACATATTCGGCACGCAAGTTCGTCTGTTCTTTGCGCGCCTCGTGCCTTTGTTGACCCTCCAGGTGCTCCAGGTGCTTTTGTTTTCCCCGGACCTCAAGTAATGAGGCGCGCGCATGACTGCGCCGTCATCGCGCTATTTCTGCGCGTTGACCGCTGGTTGGCGTGCCCCTCATGTTCCGACGCGCCAAAGACACTTTTAACGCGACAGCGTTAAAAGTGTTATTGTAGTGAGTGCGCAGGCGAGCTGGTGGAAATTAACCATTCTGATGTTAGCCTGAGACTGAGGCAGGAAAAGAGGAAGTTTCAAAGTAGAAGAAAAAGGAACAGTCGAGGATACGTCTCTATTTTTTTTTTTTTTTAGAGACGTATCCTCGACTGTTCCTTTTTTTTCTACTTTGAAACTTCCTCTTTTCCTGCCTCAGTCTCAGGCTAACATCAAAATGGTTAAAAGTGTCTTTGGACACTTTTAAGTGAGCTCGTATTGCAGAAAAGCCGATGTCGATGGCGTGACGCGAAAGTTCTGATTTGTTGATAGGGTAATGATGTCACAGCCAAATGATCTTTCGCGGGAATTTCAAACAACCGACAACGCTCATGTGAAACGTGACGTCATGCTGGAATGAAAGTGATTCAGAAATGACATATGTAAGGCAAAGTAAAGGTCGCAAGCATGTCTCAAATACTTTAACTTAAAAAGTAATTCATTCGCTTTAAATATAACAATTAAATAATTTTGGGCGGGATTCGAGCGCACGACCCTTCGGTTGCGAGCCAGTCACGCTGACTGGGCCGCGCAAAACACGCTTGTCGCGTTCCGCTCTTAAAGGCGACGCTTAAGCGTCCTCCAAGATTTTGGAACACTTGCTTTCCGCGCACACGCGGGCCTGAAGGAGTTATCGTTCGTAAACACTCGCACTGAAGACAAGCTGTGACACCCCGTATTTACGGCGATTGCTCAAGAACGATGCCTAGTCAGTAGAGAAAGCATAGTCACGTCATGTATACCATGTAACGTCATCGTGCCACGTGTCGTTGTGTCGCGGCGTATTTGACGTCACATGAGTGTGATGTGATGTGACGTAATGTCACATGACGTCCCAGTGTCACGTGACATCACGTCATCTGACGCGGTGTCACGTGACGCGATCTTGCGTCAATTAAAAATCAATTCAGGTTGTCTCGCTAAATTTAGCGGAGAAATTTCTCCGCCAAATTTAGCTGCTTTCGAACGGACGCTCACGATCTCACAATTTGCTGGTCCTAGAAATAATAATGCATTAAAAAAAAAACAAAAAAAAAAAAACATGGGGCTTTTCCCCTGCGCTCCTGCACACCATGTAATCCCGCGAGACGTCGGTGTTACGTCTTTCTCGACCCCAATGTCATCGGCATAATTCCCGAAGTCCGAGAACCCTGCCACATGTTCACACGTTGGTGAAGTCTGGCCAGGCGATGGACGCGCGAGGGTCTCGCTGCAGGAGAAATGGGACAGCGCGACGAGGCGATGGAAGGACAGCCCGGGACTGCTCGAGTCGCTCGCCCTACTGCTCATCGACGAGGTGAGTGGGTGGATATCGCACAGAGGCCGCGCCACTCGCGTGGAACAACGTCCGACGCACACTTGCCGCCATCGACGGCAGCCATAGGAGGTGGAGCTCTGGAAGCCTCAGTCCCCCTTTACGCTGTCATTTGGCTGCATGCCTCATTTCTCGTCTCACCCCGGCAAAAACACAGAAAGACGACTTTACGAATTTGTTCAAGGACGTGTTGTTAAGCACTGAAACTTGGATGGGAAGAGTTAGGACAGTAAGAGAAGGGGACGCTTTCTATCCCACTTTTTGTTTTTACTTCTCCTACTCCTTTATATTTTTTCCACTCCAATCTCATGTTTTACAGTTACGTTCAATATACATCAGCTCGGCTTCACTTTGAGTAACTTTGAGTAGCTCGCGCATCTTCCTAGAGAGAACGCTTAGCGTTGTTGAGGGGCACTCAAGGTCAAAGACGAATCTAATGGTGAATTCCACTCGTAGATCTGGAGCGCTTTCCAAAATCCGCGAGGGAGGCAAAATTTCGCTCCGTGGGACCCGCTCCGTATCGACGAGGGGAAGATAAACTTGCATTTTTGGAGCGACCTCCCCCACACCCCTCCCCACCCCTTCTCCTTCCGCCGTTCAAAATGGCCGCTGCTCGAACTTGACCAGCCCACCAACGCCTCAGCCGGCTGATCTTTCCGACGAGCAGTGACGACTGTCACTGCTTAGCTGCAGAAGTAACACGCGACACAGGCCGGGCGGAATTATACGTACCACGGCGCCCATGTCACAAATAGCGAAGACGTCCGCGTTCGGCACCGTCACATACCTTTCGGCCGCCTCGAAGCGGCGGGGCACGGACAGCGATTGCCAGCGGTGGAGTTCAGATTGCTAGTACGACTTTAATAAACACAGAGGTAGCAAACCATCACTTGCGCGGTCGTTGCCTAACCACTTCTTGCTTTATTTCACGGGAAAACGCCGATGGAATGCAGTGTAAAAAGGTAAACAATCACTGGCTGCAGAATGAATAGGCCTAACCTTCCGTCTGCCTCAGGCTTTTCTGTCGTTCTTCCTCGGTGATCACAGATGTCAGCGCTTACGATTTGCCACGCTCCACATTCCCGGCTTTTTATCCCTGATCTACGCGAGGTAGAAGCGTTCGAGCCGTCACAGTCCAGAGTAAACAACCGACGCACCCGAACAGATCCAACTCCACGACCCGACGGTGCGGCGTGGCCCGACCGGCCCGCCGATCTCTCCAACCTCGCCGCGCATGCGCACCGCCGATTTAGACGGAAATCACGTGGGCCGCTCTGTCAATTTCTGGAGAGATCTGTGAAATCCCGCAGAGCAAGTTCGGCGGAGTTTGGGGCGCTCCGTTGAGCGGGCGCTGCCAGAGATCTACGAGCGGAAGATGACCAACTTGAGCCAGATCTGCGAGCGGAATATGCGCGCTCCAAATGGAGCGCTTTTGGAGCGCTCGAGATCTGCGAGCGGAATTCACCATTAGTGAGGGATAGGAACGGCGGAAAACGTGCTTAGGGGATTCATGACAGCTTGGGTTATGAGGTTTTAGCAAGCTTTTTGACGCCATCGTGTGACCCTCCAGTGGTCACAAACGAGCTTGCTGATCAGCAGCATCCGGTGCTGCGGTATATTAGATACTGTTGCCAGTTGAAAAGTTAAAACATCGGCGTTTGAGGTCGCCTGAGGTCGCTGAGGCGAGGTGCTACAGACATGCGTCGGGCGAATGCGAACAACTTTGAGGCCAGATATGATGTCGGCATTTTAGATCGATATCATCCACTCACAGCCAGCTCAAAACAAAAATATCCGTTCCCTCACCTTCAACTCACAACAAAAAATGAACTCAAAATTACCCCCCCCCCCCCTGACAACCGCACTCCCTTCAATCCCGCACTCACAAACTCAAGAATTCGTCGAATTTTAATAGACTGAACAAACTATCGAATTATGAAGTTACAAAACTCATCCGCTCACCGAACTCACGCCCCTCACTGAACTCGTCAACTCACATAACGCGCAAACTCACTAACTTACCTAGCTCATCAACTCATCGAGCTTACTACCCTCACCGAACTCCCGAACCCACACCCCTCACCAAACTCACGAGCTCACTAAACTCACGCTTCTAACCGAAGTCGCTGAACTCACCGAACTCACGCCCGTCACCGATCTCATAAATCTCCATCGACCTCACGCCCCCTACTCAACCTCAAATTCGCGAGTTTTCGAGGCTTACGAACTCGCTCACTCTCACCTTACGTCTGGGGCTCAGGGTGAGCAAGGGGAGTGCGTGCTCTCACGACTGAGTGTCCTCGCTGGGCGGGCGCCTCCGACGCAGGTGCAGCTGGTCCACGAGGCCGGCCGGGGTCCCGTGCTGGAGGCGGTCGTGAGCCGCATGAAGGCCCTGCAGCGTCACAACGGAACCCCGCTACGCATCGTAGCGGTTTCGGCGCCCGTGCCCAATGCCGCGGACGTCAGTACTACACGTATCTATGGAATATAGGAGCAGAGAGATGGGAGGGGGCTAGACTTAGGAAGTATTTATGTTGCTGTAACTATATACTAGTCACTGTTACGACAGCCCCCCCCCAAAAAAAAAAAAAAAAAAACAGAGGGCGTGGCTATGCTCCTAGTTTTTGTTTTGTCATTTGCTCTACGGTGTTTATTTCGGCTGATTCTGTAAACTCAACGAGCGAGGAGTAATAAATGATAAGTCTTTCGGGACTCGCCACGCGCTGCGTTTTTTAGCTGTCACTGTCTAGGGTACTGCGCTAAATTATTCCTACGTAACAATAAACGTTTCGTACTTTCAACTTACATACATTTTCGGCGTAGCAATGCCCTTATTTTAACGAGGAACTAATGATGTGTTTGCGCTTGCAATTTTATGGCGACAATTCAAAATATGCAGTGATCGCCGATTCGCATGGTGCAATTTTTGCAAAAAATGAACTAACAAAAAACGTTTTAGTGGTCTTTTATCAACAGTTATTTCTCGAGTCGAAGTTAATAAATATTCAAATTCACACTGATCTAGTCCGAGCAACAGCGCTATGTGCCATTGCTGCCGCACACTTTGCCATGAACGAGAGTTTGATTTAAAACAAACTAATCTTTCTCGTGTTCAAATATGTCATTGAGCAGCCTTCCGGGCCCCGACATACCTCGACGTCTCGTGACGGTCGAAATAGTAGGAATATGTAGTTGAAAGGAAACTTAGTTACTTTTTTCCGAGTGACTGTAACTAACCTGATTTCTATAAAGAAGCTTTACTGCTCCCGAATATTGCGACCTAAGTTTCCTCTATTACAAAACACACTCGAAAATCCTCGCGGTTGCGACGTTTTTCGCGACGCCTACTGGCGTGACGGTGCAAACTTGAGGAAGACCTACAGCTAGCCAAATTAACTCAAATACGCCATGTTGTTTCCTTCAAACTGTCTGTCGTCATGCGCGTCGTTTCTCGTCGGTACTTGTAAAGGGGACTTTACGGGAGTACTCGCCTAGTTCTGGAGTGCGCTCACAATGACGAAGGCCGCACCTCTAAAGTCCCTTAATACTTATTTTCCAGGTGACAACACAAATGACAAAGCGCATTCCGCTGGAACAAAATGGCGGCATTCATTTCAAACCTGTGCTCTGCGCCGCCCATTCGCTTCTTAAAACCTGCACCGTCACGCAGTCGGCGCTTCAAAGAATGTCGCTACTTGTAAGAAGCTCTCATCTACAAACCTTACGCACCCCCTCTCTCTCTTTCTCCAGCTGGCCTCCTGGTTAGGAACAGCGGACAACCCGGGATGTCACCACACGTGAGACTAACGAGGCATTGCGGAGGCGATTATGCCTTCAACCTGGATTAGACGGGCGTGAACAGCGTCCCCTTTCAGTGTGAATGAAGGGATGCATCAAAGACGGCCGGCTCTACGTCGGCCCTCGAAGACGGCAATCAATCATCGAGTTGCAAAGAGTTTGCTAGCCTCGCCTCTCTGCCTCCCTTGAGAAACATATGCTACATTAACCGAGCGAGAAACCGTCGAAATTAACTTTAAGTATGGGTCGTTGCACTCGAAGATATTCATAAGATTAGGGTGCGAAGTGCGCATCTAGTTGAGATTTGCACGTACACGTGCGACGAAGTAACTTCGTTTTTGGTTACTGGATACGCTTCTCGGTAACGAAGTAGAAATTTGGTTCCTTCTTACGAACATATATATGAGTGGCACATTTGAGCTAATTTCTCATAAAATAACCGGGACTAGTATTTGGTTTATTTTTCTGGTGAACGTGTGTACAACGTAAACCTTGTTTTCGCGCCGACTCGTGCTGTGTTTGCGTCACGACTGAGAGGCCCCAGATGCGCTGACACGCACGAACTTGCAAGGTATACAGTGACGCGTATTTGCGCGCCCGTTGATCGCGTTACACCGTTCCCGAGGACTGTCCCTCACAATTCAAGAGGAGCAAAATCGTGGATGCTAGTCGGGACGATCTGTCAGCGGCTTGTTCTCGAATTTTTGTCGCCTTCGGCTCCACGTCGCTCACCAGACCTTACAAGTAACGAGAAAAGTAACGCGTTACTATTGAGATAGGGCGACGCATTCCTTTCGAAACGTCGCGGCATCGATCTACTTTTTGAGCGAACGAGTACAGGCGCTTGGTAACCTGTCCGTTCCCGTCTTTCCGCGAAAGTGACTCCCACGTGACGGGGCGACAGGTTCGGCGAGAGGCTGCGTCCCGTGCCCCTGCGGCGCCTGGTGCTGGGCTATCCTTGCGCGGTCGGCACCAGCGACTTCCGCTTCGACATGTCCCTGTCGTACAAGCTGCCCCTCGTCATCGAGAACTACTCCGAGGGAAAGCCCACCATCGTGGTGAGACAAAAGTGAACAGCGGCTGTAACCACCTTATAAACGATATGCTACAGCATACTCTCCAAGAAGTCTGGAGCGTCCATTTTCCTGCAATGTCCTTGAGAAAGCCAATCGCTGCAATCTACAATGCGAGTTTGGTGAATGATGAAGTCATAGATGTATCCATGCGAATGACGAACCTTAGTGTATATTTACTAAGCTTTCGGATGTAATTGGATATAAATACATCTGAAAAATATGTTCATTCTCTCTGCGTACATAGCATTTTATATAATTGTATTCTGAACTTCGTCCTTTTCTCGTATCCTTCTGTTGTTCGCCGTGGATGGCCATCTCCGTGTTCTACAGGAAAGTTAACGAGCAAATATTGCTTAGACTTTCCTACATGTGAGTTCTTGTACAAAAGCATTAGGATGAGCTGGGCTCACGAGCCTGCTTCTTTGTCTAAACTGTAGAATTTGTGGGATGGACCATATTATAGACAGTTCTAGTAGAGGGTTTTTACTCGGAGCCATTTCCCGTGTTGGTGCGTAGACACGTGATTTGTTCGCTTTCTGAAGCAACGAACGTGCACGTGCTGGGCTGTAAAGATCGCACGCCGGGATGTGATTTCGTAAACATCGGAACCGTGTGCGGTATACATGCAGCCTTCTTGTCGAACGGTCGAAAGGCAACAGAGCGCTTCCTTCTGCGCGTCCCCGCAGTTCTGCTCGACGCGTAAGGGGGTCCTGCAGACGGCTGGCGTGGTGGCGGGCAACTGCAGCAGCCTCGTCCGGGATGTACGCACCAGGGACCGGCTGCTCTGTGCGGCAGCCACGCTCAGAGACGCCAAGCTCAGAGGTCGGTCTCGAGGGCTGTTGAGAAGAAATTTCCGTAAAGCGGGGGTCACATTGCTCATACGTCATACAAAAGACAATCTGCTAACACGAGTCAATGCAACATTCGTGGTTCGAATGCCGCGTGTCCAAGTTTTTTCTTGAACTCATAGCCACGCGGCATTCGAAGCATACATATCGTGGTGACTCGTGTTAGAATCCGTTTGCAGACTGTCTTTTGTGATATATATGCATCTTTTACCGGAATTCACAAAACTGCGGTGTGGGGAAAAAAATAAGATGGTGTTGCTTTTGTTAGTTTGTTGCTGCATGTTTTCGACGACTTCTGTGACGACGGTTTTCTTCGAGCACCGAACTTCCCGATAAGCGGGTCTATGTGACTGACAGCATAAAGGGGCCATGCAACGACACGGAAAATAACTGTCTTTAACTTTACAAATGTCTACTGGCACTATAGTGCAGGCCCGAGAATACTCGAGCGCAACGCCAGTGACCAACAAGCGTCTTAGTCGCGGTGGAATTCCAAGGATAAAAGCGGACGTTTCCTTTCCGTCTCTCTTGCGCAAAACTTGATGGCGGAGTTGCGGGGACACTTACGATGCGATCCCCGGGATTTCGTCATCAAGCTTGGCGATCCCCGCTGTGGCGACATTGAAACGCGGCTCATACAATGGACACGACCATTGCGTACGCATTTTATTTGGGCTCGTGACAATCAATGCCTCGATATACACTCGGGTAGTGGCTGTATGCATGTTTAACATTGGCGGCCTTTAATCAGCTCCAGATCACGGTCCCCTTGTTCTGACTTCGAGTTGAGGAGGTACAAAACTGTTCTTTTTGTCTAATTTTTTTCTGAGACTCCCATTGCGTAAAAAAATAAATAAAAAATCCGCGCACATTTAAGCCCTTATGAGTTGTGAATGCGAAAGCATAAATGTCGTTCCTCCGCTGCCTTAATTTGTCTGCAGTGTAGTTACGTGGACGGCCACGTTTTGCTACTGGCGAGGTTGCGGTCACCGACGCCGAGGAACATGGCGGCGCCTGAGAAATCTATATATGATATATAGTTCCCTCAGGCGCCGCCATGTTCCTCGGCTCCGAGAGGAGCAGAAGGTAGCGCCCCCCCCCCCCCCCCCCCCCCCCCCTTCCTCCTCTGGCAACGCCTGACGCGAGAGCGGCGGCCGTACGCAAGCTCTCGTAAAGCGGCCGCCAATGGCTATCTAGGAGCCGTTTCGCTCAGCCAATGGGAGAATGGGCATTTCTTTCGCGTTCATTCGCGGTTTCAGACGCCGCCGGCTCCGCTCCATGGGATAGTTAACGCTCTCGCATTTAAAACCAACGCGGGTTTCAAAGGTTACGAATGTCAAGGAATAACTCTAAGTGGTATTTACTGAGAGTAAATAGAAAGTACATTGCTGTTTTGGTAGCCTATCGTGCAGGAAAAAAAAACATTAACTGTGTTGAAATGAAAGGCTATATGTGCGCTAATTTCGCTGATTTCAGAGCGCGTTCCCGCGCGTGTACGCGCACCCGGAAAGAGTGCAGCGTTGCCGTTGCACCCGACGCCTCAGATGCTGTCGGTAGGGGTGTTGGCACGCGGATATTTCGGCGTAGCCCTCTTATGGTTCCTATCCGTGACGTCACGATCATGATTTTTCTCGCCGTGACGGCACGAGTCTCGGTTACGTATGGCCAGTTGAGAACGACAAGCTCGACGGGTTGCGTTAAAAGTTGGGACAACTGAAGCTCCTCACTGGAGTTCTCACCTCGTCAGAGATTATAGTTCCGACAAAGCCCGACATTGCTTTCATTTCCGTCTGTATAAAGTAAAAGGTATCCCTTTCAAGACGTCATACCGAGCGTTTGGCCAGTGATAGAGAGCGGGCCACAGCGACGCTGTTGGTCGTGCACATTGCGGGACTGGTAGCCGCGGGGGCGGTACTCGCAGATGTGGTGCCCCGCGGCGTGGGCTTCCACCACGCGGGCCTGTGCCCGGAGGACCGGGGCGCCGTGGAGGCGTTGTTCCGCGAGGGCGGCCTGCCCGTGCTCGTGAGCACCAGCACGCTGGCCATGGGCGTCAACCTGCCCGCTCACCTGGTCGTCGTCAAGTCCACCAGCACCTACGCCCTCGGGGGAACGGGGCTCTACCCGGACCTGGTCGTCGACCAGATGCTGGGACGCGCTGGCAGGCCGCAGGTCTGTAAACGTCGTGCGTTATTAAAACGCCACGTTATTGAAAACCGAACGTCTTCTTTTTGGCTGCTGCCAAAGAAAATATGTTCGTAATATGTGATAGCACTTGGGATCATTTGCCTGCTGAGTTATTTGGTCATTTGCTTGTTGAGTGAATTGACGTGCACACTGTTGCTTAGTAGTTTGTTTGTTCGACTTTAGTGGAGCTTACAGGGTCATCCTGTCCACCCTTCTGTCCACAGTAGGTAAAGCTTGCGGGACGCTGTGACGTCGTAGTGTTACGTCACTTTTTCAGGTAATGCCGTACGACGTGACTCTGCGTCGGTGATACGCCGACTCAAGGTTTACCACTAACTTTAGCGGGAAAGCGCTTCCCGATAAAATTAGCCAGGAAAGTTTCCCCGCTAAATGTAGCTGTCGAGCCGCAAGGGGCGCACGCACAGGATGTCACGATTTGGTCCCCGTGCGATGCTATCGCTACTGAAACCTATTAGTACTCGCCTTGCTGCGCGGGGTGGCCGGATCGCCGGAAAGTACATGTGCGAAAAAAGATGTTTTGTAATAGTCCTACTGCGCTTCAAGCCGATCTCGTGAACCTGGCGGCATCGACATGCAGTTGCGTTTTCAGAAATGTTTCAGCTGCCGATTGCTAGCATGCCACAGCCTTGTGTATCATACGCACGAGCCGTGTTGTTTGCGCTACCGACAAAAAGTAACGAAATGCGCTACTCGTTACTTGCAAAGAAAAGAAACCGCTGCCGTTGACGTTACCGATAAAATGTAACGCACGTTAATTTTGCGTTACGTTTCATCTATGAAAAAAAGGCGTTGCTGTTTGACGGGAACGGGCGTAGGCACTGTTTTTCTAAAGTGGGAACGTTTGCGTCGGAATAGGAAACGAACATTTGAAGGTATGTGAGATGAGCCCGAAAATTGTTATGACATAATTCCTAAAAGCAAAACAAAAAAAAAAGTTATTGTGTAATTTTATTTGGTCTCGGGAAGACGTAACGAGGAACGTAACTACATTACCCCGTTACTCAAAATGAAAAGAAAAAAAAAGTAATATGTAACCGACGACACCACCGCAAGCACTGTGCAAGAACGACATAGATTATAAGTAGTGACACGTTGAAAATGCGGTAGATGTTCCTCTTGTAGAGGGATCTTTCTGTCTATGATAACACATCGTCGCACGCGCAGCCAATGCCCGACAGAAGGCAACGAGTGCCTGCTTGGAGGCGAAGCTTCTACTGAATTCTTAACACGTCACCGACTATAGTACACAGTAGAGCGTTTGTTTGGGTATGTGCATGCCTGATGTTCACTCCCTGTGAGCCGGGCACCATGATTTCGGCGGCACAAGGCCGAATCGTTTTTTTTCTATTTTTACATTTATCCACTCGATGTGCCACCACCTGAGTAAATGGCCGTTCACACATATATACAGCGCAGCACCGAATCGGCGCTGATGCTGTGCCGACTTGTCGGTTTATACAGCGATCCGTCGGCGCTTCATCGCCGCGTTCACCACTGTGGAACAGCCCGTCGGCGACAGTCCACCACTGTGGAACCACATCGGCGATAAGGTGCAAGTGACATTCGGAGCTGCATCAGCGCCGTTTTCTAGCGCCGATTCGGCGCTGCGCTGTATTTGGGAACCGGCCTTGAGTATTCACGTTCGCCGGCTGATGCCTCATTTTTTTTTCAAACCTGACATGTGAGTGTTCAAGCGAAGCCTACAACCAGAACTCTGCCTGCAGTCACTGAGATCTTAAGAAACTTATGTTCTAGCTTTGTGATTCGTTCATTGGAGTTCTTAATCAACCAATTCCACCATCTGATTGACTGGGGTGCAGTAATGATATGCTCACGACTTTCCACGTCCTGCATATCTTAACCTGTGACTCTATAGAGGCGCCTTGTGTTGTTACACACAGTTTGACGTGTCGGGAACTGCCGTCATCATGACCAAGCTGTCGCTCAAGGTGAGTTCTCGACGATCGCGCGTCGTCGTCTTGCGCTACGCACAATTTGCCCACACAGTTGGCCGGGAGGTGCATTGGGGGCTTAATGTTTTTGTCTGTGTTACACATATAGGGTTCTTGCACGAGACCATGATGCAATGCTATACTTCCGGTGCGGAAATCTCGCCGGAACCGGCCGGAATCTATGTTGGAGGCATTCGTTGCGGTTAATGCTGTGTTTTGTCTGCTTTTTGGCCGTCTTCGCGCTTTATAGTGTGTCCGCTCACTGGAGAATTAAATTGATCAATTGCGCCGAAGGTAATGTTTCAAGCAGTAAAAGTCGTCGACAAATGGAGCTACAACCAGCAGTATTTTTTTTAATTCCGGCAATTAATACGAATTAGGACGCTGCGACACTCAAGCAATCAGTTCGCCGGCGTCATGAATGGCTCTGATGGATACGCCGGCACAATCTCCACAAAAGAGGCTTCGTACCAGTTAAGGGTTTGTACACTACACTTCGTGTCAGGTGAGGAATCGTTTTGCGATTAACTAGGACAAGTAAAGAGGGCGAAATTACTTATGCGACAGCTCCAGTCTTCATCTGTGTAGCCAGTCAAAAAAGTTGGAGGACCGGCTACAGTGCTGACAAGTTTTGCACAATATCACCCAATGTCTTCACGTATTGGTAGCGGCACTAATTTTATTGTCAGTCACCGCAAATTATTAGCAGACGACAGATTTTTTGATGTCCCACGGCACGCTTGAAGAGGCGCTCAAGTGCCGAGCGACGGCACCTATACGCGCGCGTTCAAGTGCCGTCCGAGGATGTTAAACACAAGTCACGCTTATTCTGAACCGTGTTATATCAGCTGCTCGCCACCAATTTGTTTAATCATCCAACGTGGGCTAGGCAAATGCCAGGGGAGTGAGGGCTTTACGGTGCTTCCGCGAAAGGACGCCAAATGCCTCCAACATGGCTCCAAGGCACTGATGGCCGACAACAATGTTGGTTTTGATTTCGAGACTGACCGGAAGTGACGTCATGTGCCTATAGCTATTCGCAACTCGAACGGTATGTATTTAGTCCCAGTTCCTCTATTTTGCATTTTCGACGCCACGCCGTCGACACTTTTTCTGCACATTTCTACGTGCGCGAACTCCTCTTTTCCAAAAGTCAATCTTTTCCGGTCGGTCGTGTCGCCTCCTTTGCAGTTGAGAACATATGCGTATTCACCACATTCGGGGGAGTTGATACCATAGAGTTGTTATAATGTACGCTAGAGGTTCAACTGGCGCTAGTGTCTATGCGACTTCCGTGACGCAAATTGAAGCAGACAGCAACCAGTCTACTTTTGCGGTGCTCCTGTGCATTCCTATGGGAAAACGCGCGTGCATTTTGTCTCTTCACCAGAAAATAACATCAAACACTTTGGTTATTTCGGTCGTACCGAATAGTATGTGTCTTAATTTACATTGTAAAAGTGTAATTGCTTTAGTTAGCGCATTTTTCTTCATCAGTGAGCGATGTTTAACTTCGCTGCATTTTAGTCCCAAACGTGTGTTCCGCAGCAGGTGTGTAAAAGCAAGCGACGATTCAAAGTAAAATTACGATCGAAACGAATATAGAGTGTGTTCAAGGCTCGCCAGCCTTTCGGTGACGCTTGTATATTGATAATATGCCAGTCCTGTCACCATATGAAAATGATCCCGTCGTGCATGAGCGGATAAAAACCTTCGACGTAGAGAATAAAGTCCGTGGGATATGAAAGGTGTCTCTTCGTATTGTTTTCTCTGCCGGGCAGCTTTTATCGCGGACTTGTTCTCAAAGATGTCTAGCGCGCGGGTGATATTTTGAACGTAGAACACGCGCAGCTTCGCTCAGGACAGAAAGAATAAAGCGGTACTCACTTATTTAAAATCGGAATAGATTACGTGGCCTTCAATTTATTTTGATCGTACATGCACTGCGAGCTACTGATCCGGTGTTGCTGCGTAGTTCTTGCCGCCGCTCTTGATTTTCCAGATGTCCTTCGTTCGTTTGGCATGTATATCCCCCATGCTGGAAATCGCCGACGCCGCGTTCGCGCTAACAGTGTCCGGCAGTGCACATAAATACACGTACGAATCCGTTTCAGCACCGTTTTTAGTGCAATGAAATCGAGAGAAAAACGCCGTAACTGACCAATTCTTTCGTCGGCCTGACTGAGAAATGTTCCAAACTACCTAGTACGTACGAATTATTTGGGATATCTGCTCTTATGATCGAGCGCAGGGAGAAAATGCACTCACTTTTTCCCATAGAAATGCATTACCGGAAGTCAATTTTCGACTGGTTGCTGTCTGCTTCAATTTGCGTCAGCACACTAGCGCCACTTGAACCTCTAGCGTACATTATAATAACTCTATGGTTGATACCACGAGGGCGCCACAGTATTTGGTGCCCCCGTAGACTTCCGGTAGTTTATTTATTTATTCTTCAGCAACGCACAGCGGTCGGATAAGAAGAGTTTGCTTCAGAGAAGTTTCTGTAGTATGTAAGAACATTAGTGCATTGTACAAAGTAGTGGAAATAACAAAAGGAGGAGAGACAAATGGAAAAGAAGAGGAAAACCGGAAACGCGCAGGGGTCCGCCGATAGGGGGTGGTAGTGAGCTTGTTTGCAAACAAACATCTGAAAAGTTGGCCATCAAAACTGCTGTATTCGGCTCCAAACGTACTTTGTGCTGCGTTGTCAAGACAAGCATTGCTTCCAAGGTGCTGCAGCCCTGTTCTGCTGCAGTGCACAGTCACGGGCGTCGCTTAGCGACACATTATCAACCGCCCCAAATCTGCAAAACTGTAGAGCTCTGGCATGAGTCAAGGACGGCTCCGCCTCATGCCTGTAGCAGTGAAGCTTTATGACGGGTGGCGCCTAGGTTCGCCCAATTGCTTACTGTACCCAAGCGTGCAAAGAAAGGAGCAACAATTTACAGAAGCCGCCGTGTAATGTCGCGATCCTGCCGGTGGTGAACTGCAGCAATAGTGAGTTGACGACCAGCCGGATGTCAAAGTGACGAAGAAGCGGTACACAGATTGGTCGGAAATATCTAGTTCCCTGAACCGGACACGGAGAAAATATTTTCGTATGGGAGGGGACAACATATATTATATTATCCCTTTATACGTGAACCCAAAGAGAGCGTAAAAAGGTCGCCGTGGCAAGTTGGGCTGCTATAAAACAGCACCTGCCTCTCTATTACCCGAAGATATGTTGAGACGAAAAAGTTTGGAATTCGTCGGGCTGAACCTAACTATACTATGACCCATACTAGGATTGTACGTTTGGGGGGGGGGGGGGGGGGGGGGGGGGGAATGAACGCACGAGGGGGAACCCCTTCTGTGCTTTTCACAGTTTCTGCTTTATCGTTCCTCATGTTTGCTTTCAATCGCCTTCCTGTCGCCCGAGTGTCCGTACTAACGCGGTTGGTTCGATTCCCCGCAGCCCCGCTACGAGCAGCTGGTGCAAGGCACGCAGGCAATGGAAAGCAGGTAGGGGCTGGTGGTCTGCCATTCTTTTTTTTTTTTTAAGGGACTAATGAAAACTATTCTAAATGCGCCCAAACTAGAATAATTAAAGGCGCCTTCGAAATAGCGGAAAGTAATCGGTCGGGGCTGAATGGCTTCCGGAACGCCTTCTCACAACTAAGAACAGAGCAGATAGGAGAAAGATTAGAAAAAAAAGAAAGGCGACGCATACCTACATGCAAATTTTCCAAAAAAATTAAACGTATATATATATATATATATATATATATATATATATATATATATATATATATATATATATATATATATATATATATATATATATATATATATATATATATATATATTATTTTTTAGCTTTTCGCGAGTAACTGTAACTACATTTTAAATAAAATCTGCAGTAAAAGCACCGCCTCCAGCGCGAGCTTTTTACCTCCGATAATACTTGGTCGTCTCGTGGGCACGCGCAGTCAAAGCACGACGGAAGGCGATAAGCACGTGCTGGAGGCAAAGCTTCTCCTGTAGATATAATATTGCAACATACAAAAAAGTAATTAATATTAACGCATTAACCGTTAAAAAAAACGAAAAAAAGGAATGATAAACCAAAAAAAACAGACCACTACATTGTTTCTTTTGGAATCGCTTTTTGTCGCTCTTTGAGTCTTCAGCTATGCTTTTCTACAACAAGAAAGTAACGAGATTTATAACTTAAGTTTACCGCAGCTCCGCATGCTTCTTTAATTATTTTTAGAGTAAATCCGACAGTTCCGATTCGGCTTTCCCGTTCGGGCAGTTCAGCAGAGTCCCGCGAAGGTGTACACGCGCGGTGAGCTCCCCCGGGATGTACCCTCGCGCTTTGCGGCTGTCTCTGCACTGTTCGCAGCCTGCACCGAAGCCTGGTGGAACACCTGAATGCCGAGATCGTGCTGCGCACGGTGCGGGACCTGGCCGGGTGCGTGACCTGGGCCAAGTCCACCTTCTTCTACGTGCGGCTCCGGAAGAACCCTGCACACTACGGTGGGGGACCACGCCTTTTCTTTAGACCGTGACCTATAAGTTTTAAGCTGCTGCTTTGATAGGCGAAGGGGCGGGGGGGGGGGGGGGGGGGGGGGGTGAGCCGAGGCATCGGTGGAAAATAGAGCCAAGTCCAAGCAGTGAAGAGAAGCATCACGAAGGAACGACGTGAGAGAGAGCAACAAAGACGTCAGTGATTACTGGCGGCGAAGCGATAATGAGATCCTCGTGTTCTTGACACGCTTTGCGTTCCTTGAGCTGTGAGTGAGTCTGTGGGTTATTCGTGCAGAATGTTCAACCATGCTTTGCCTTTGATATCTCCGCGACCGTTCTGACGCGAACGCGTGCAGGCATATGACGCGTTCCGTATAGTTCGGTCATGAGACGGCAGAATGGCTCTCGTTTGTATGGCAGGTCAGCCCCGGGGTCTTGGCGAGCAGGGCGCACAAGACAAGCTTCACGGTGAGCTCTGTTTACTTGGACGGGAATTTGTTGTGGCCAGGTGCTATTCCAAAGCACGCTATTTATTAGATGAAAGCTGACGCAGGTAGTACGCCGAGAATTCTTTTATATACGCTTACTGGTGTAAGGAACTAATTTACGCTTAAGAAATACACATTATTATTTATTATTATTATTATTATTTATTTATTTCTGAAACGAAAACATGCAATTGTGATTGCTTCCTTACAAAAATAACAAAAGCAACATAGTTGTTAGTAGTTTAAAGAGCAAGGGTTTAGGCTGCCAGAATATGGCGCTATTGTTACTCAATGTAGATGAGAAATTTAGCCAGTGCATTACGACTGCTAGAATGTTTTATTAATGTTTTTTTTTTTTTTTAACGCGCATCACGCGGCAGTGATACACAACCACACGCCGGTTCGATGTTCCTCCACATTGAAACGGGCAGGGGTGGGGTTTGAGCCCAAAATCCCTGGGTTTTGCAGCGCGAGCTTTCGCTACACGTGGTACGAGCTGTGGTGGGCTAACATACTCGGCCACCGATCCGGCCCCCCTCCCCCCCCCCCCCCCCCCCCCCCCCGCCCCCTATGCTTTCTTACAGGTAACTAGGAAAGCCAATCACAGCGATGTGCGGAGGTGAAAGACGAGGATGAAAACGAACGTTTCGAACTACATTCACTAAGTGTGCCGTGATGTATTGAGTATGACGCGAACATGCGCATAACGTTCAGCGGATAGTGGATTTTTCGGGGCGAATAATTTCCCCGGCATCGTCAGTCACCCAGCAAAAAATCGCGGCGATTAGCCTTTAGAGGGCTCGGCGGGAACGTTGGAGCACCATCAAATATTCTACAGTGAAGGGTCTGTGCCGTGTTTCAGCCACCTTGAATTTTTCCTGGCCTTTAAATAGCTATACATATATAGTAAACAATCCCGAATGAACGCCCACCCCAAAAAGACCGCTTACCTCAGTTTTTCTTCTCTTCTTAGATAAGTGTTGTTTCTTGTCCCTTTGAGATAGGGTCACAACAAAGCGTCGGTGGCATGTCTCGATGGCTAGAATCAAATAAACAGCAAGAACCACCGAAGAGCGCCTAGATCGCAGCTCACGACGCCCGCGCCTCCTGCTCTCGCCCAGAACTGTGCCGGGAGAGTGTGACTGCCCTCGTCCGCGCATCGCTGGCCACGCTGGACGCCGACTCGGGATGCCTGGAGCCCACGGGTGAGGAACTGTCGTTGTTCTACTTCTGTAAGACAGAAAGCACCACAAGATACAGAAAAGAAACACCCCAGTCGCTGTGTGGTGTTTCCTTCCTGCATGTGCCCGCGTCTTTTGGCGCGTTCAGTTTTATTGAAACGGACACGTTGGTTAACCCACTGACCCACCTATCCATCTTATATTGTTACATTTATGTCAAAGTCACGTCTTTTTGTTTACTGCTTGAGTGCAGTCTGATTTGTTCTGTTAAAGTTTATTCCACTTTATCTTGCATGACTATGTAGAAGATCGATACTCTACTACGTTATAACATAAATTAGGGCGTGATCAAAGGCTAGAAGACATACAAACGCAGAAACATAAACTGAACGCACCGATAGGCAACGAACGCCATGACGTAGCGCTGTTGTGCCTCTTGATTTCCACCATTGACTGTAGCTTTGGCTGCGCTCTTACTTATTGCGAAACGAAGTACCACAGTAGATTCCCCCTGTTCCGGAGTGTCCGACAAAAGGAATCTCGATCTGAAACGTGAGCGTTTTTCTCCCACGCAGGTGCCGGCCGCCTCATGGCTCGCTACTGCATCTCGCTAGACACAATGGAGCGGTTCTCGCAGCTCCCGGCACGTCTCTCCCTGGAAACCCTGGTCAGTGGGATGCTACCGCGCAAGCGTTTACTTCTTCCGTAAGCGAGGCGGCACACTCTCGGAAGGGTCTTCGAGCGTGTATAATAGACAAAGATGCCTTCGAAACAGCAATCATGATTTTCCTTCGTCAGTGAAATAAATGAAAAAGGTGATCAGCATCGGTCTCGAATGTCCTGGACGTCTCCTGGGCGGGCTTGCCAGAAACAACTTTAACTAAAACCATGTAAAAAAAAAAAAAAAAACTTGTTGAGATATTTTAGATTGCTTACATGTAGAAATGCGAAAGCATTCCTACAGGCAGTGCATTCTTACAAGCAACGCGCCACGTCTTCCTTTTCGCACACAGCGCTGCGGCGGTGACATTACGCTCCCTCACTGTGCAGGCGTGGCGAAACTTGCCATCTTCACGACGGCTTCCGTGACGAAGCATTGCGTTACCGTACTTTTCTTTGTGCTTTATATCTGAAACGCGTCCCCTTTGACCCTGCCGGCTACCGTGACGAGGCATCTGCTTTGCTGTGCTTTCCTTTGTGTTTTATTTCCGAGATGCATCCACTTTGACCTCGAGCGACCGCGCCGGCTTCCGTGACAAAGCATCTGATATGACGCGTTGCAGCCAATTTAGGTGCCGTTTTTGCGGTTACGAGTTTTTAGGTGGCGTTTTTCGCAGTTACAGACGCGTCCGCTTTGACCTTGAGCTCCCCCACCGGCTACCATGACGAAGCATCTACGTGGTTGTGCTTTTCTTTGTGTTTTATTTCTCAGGCGCGTGCTTGATGACGTAGTTTTATGATCATCTTTCGGGGATAACGCCGACGGCTTTTCGCGTAATGGAACAAGCAAGGCTTTCGCCTTAAAAATCACTGCCAAAGCTAGCACACGAGCGTAGTGTCATGTGAAATCGAGTCTCAAGCGCTCGCACGCCCCAGTCTTGGCAGGTGATGTTCACAGGGTTTTAGCCAAGACGCTGCTTCTAGCATGATGACCCTGCTGTCAAAAGTGTGGAATCTTTTCTGTCCAACCGCTCGCCCTGAGGCAAAATGATTGTCGTTTAGAGTGCCTCGCGCTCCAATGTGCACGCAGAAGCTCTGAGATAAAATCCGGGCAAGCTGGCTGAGCAACGACGGATGCTACAAGTGAGGATGTCAAAGAAGTGCTTGGAAAGATGGTTATAGGCTTCGCTTCAGACAAATCTGTCTCAGCACAGATGAATTCCGCTGTTGAAAAAGGGGTCAGCAATGAAGCTGATGTTAAGCTTGATCTTTACCTCGGTTACGGATATTACTCTCCTGCCAACTACTTCGCCTCTATGATGGATAGGCACAGCCCTGTATTAAATAAGCGAATGGCCCACTCTGAACTTGAAGCCTTTCGGTCGCTCTGTAAAGCTAGCTTCTCCGTAGTTATAGTATTAGTGAGGGGAAGCCAATTGTCCAGATGCGAACTTTTGTGCCTTTATTGTTTTGAGACCTCTCCACTTATTTGAGGACAGCAATCTGGTGACCATTTCAGACGAGTCAATAAGAGAGAATTTGTCGACGCTTAGGAGGGGTATTTCTCCTCTAATCAGAGCGTTCCGAGTTCCAAAAGTAAGAGCGCACATAAGGCTTCCTGCATACGGCCAAACCAGAAACAGACCTGATTTCAGCTCTAAGTAAACAACTTAAAGACACTAGAATGACATTGTGCATCATTGGTTTCAGGAGATGTTGAGTTTTATTTATTGGTTTTATTTGAACCATCACTTTATAATATTGTTCTAGGTATCGTGGTTAACGCCATCTTAACATTGTTTTCTCCTGGACAGCTGTGTTACTCTTATCTTTTGGGATCTGCAACACTGTACCTTAGTGAGAAACGAGATAATGTTTTAGAATATTGAGATTTCAGTGCTCAAAATGAAGCTTTCCAATACATCCTTAGTTTCAATAGCCAATGTCGTGTATCTGCCTAGGCGCTTGCAGTCATCCAATGACATTGATGCTTTCTTGGGATCACGCCAACCACGTTTCCTGATACCCGGCAATTTGATTACCCACCACATATATCATGAGATCTAAAACAAATCCAGGCAATATTAGGCTCCGGGGTTGAGTGTTCAGAAAGTGCTAATGATAGCACGATCAAAAGAAAAAAAAAATGGTTCAATCGACAATTGACCTCGCGTTTTATTTCAGCACATTAGATGCGCCATTATGGGAAATGGCAAAGAATGGAAAGAAAACGAATCATTCTCCTTCAAATATAAGCCTTAGGTTACCTTAATTAAAATATTAGGGCATAAATGAAGTTTATTGGTGAGAATTATGCACACGATAAAAACTATATAAGAAAAAAACTTTTTTTGCAAACATTTGTTTATGTGGCTCGCTAAGTCTATAGCAGTTTCGGACTTTAGTTCGGACGATACGGTGGCCGTTTGTTTTAGCAACACACTAAAACGCAATCACCTAAGCTAGGGGTAAATTACCGTGCCTCGCTTTTTGGTAATTTCGAATTCAGATAGTTTTTGGTGAAATGATAAAGTGAAATCCCTATAAACGAGACAGTGGGTCAACGCAGCTGGTAAAACTAAAACAACGGTGAATTACATTCTTCGCTTACATATATAGACCCTTTCAGGCAACATTTCATGGGCGCCGCCATCTTGACGTCACGTGACCCCGCCGCCATAGCCGCCCTTCAGTTTCTCGCCGTTTCTCCGCGTTGTGTGCTGCACCGGCCACTACCGGAGCTTTGTTTTCGCGTTCTTTTACGTTCCGCGTTGAAATCGTGTGGTTTCTTTAGGTCCTTTCGATATTTCGGGCTTGCATTTAATCATTTGATATCTATATTTTAACAAAGCTCTTGTATTTTCTTATTTATGAAATGGAATCGGACAGCGAATGGATCGACGATAGCAGATTATGGTTTCAGAGACCATGTAAGTTCATCCCATTCTAACATTTTTCTCGCTAATAAAGGGCAGTCAACGACATTGCGACATATGCAAATTTCAACTGACGCAGGAAGGCTATCCAGTCGTACTTCTCGCTGCGTGTGCGCGCTCGTTTCCGTAAAGCCGACCCGCATGTAAGCGACTTAGCGTGCGACGAGACGAGCGACGGCGACAATGACGAGAGTCAGCGACGAAGATTTCTCACTGTCGCGTATTGCATCGCTCGGTTTTTTGAGATTTCTAGAAAACGTCGCTCACCGTCTTGGTCGCTTGCTCCCGTCGCTTCCATGCGGTTTGCCTCGTCGCGCGACTGCCCGAGCGACAGCGAAGCTGGTCACCGTCGCTTGTCTCGTTGCTGGCCGAATCGCTTGCATGCGGTTTATACTTAATATCGAAGCGCCAATGGTTCAATTCTGTGTGCATGGAAATTAATTGAGTATAAACCGCATGTAAGCGATTTGGCGAGCGACCAGATAAGCGACGTCGACCCGCTTTGCTGTCGCTCAGTCAGTCGCGTGACGAGGCAAACCGCATGGAAGCGACGAAGCAAGCGACCAAGACGGTGAGCGACGTTTTCCAGAAATCCCAAAACCGAGCGATGCGACGGGTGACAGTGAGAAATCTCCGTCGCTCGTCTCGTCGCATGCTAAATCGCTTACATGCGGGTCGGCTTTACGGAAACGAGCGCGCACATGCAGCGAGAAGCACGACTGTGATAGCCTTACTGCGTCAGTTGTAATTTACAAATGCCGCAATAGTGTTGACTGCCCTTTATTAGCGACAAAAACGTAAGAATGGGATGAACTTACATGGTCATTGAAGCCTCATAGTCTTGTATCGTCGACCCATTCGCTGTCCGATTCCATAAATAAGAAAATACAAGAGCTATACACGTTTGCAAGAAAGGCTCCTGTGCGCTGCCATTTTGAGCGATGCTGGCGCCCCGTACCGTTTCCGCCATGCTGGGGTGCGCCAGGGGCACGTCATTGGGGTGCGCGATGACAAGATGGTGCCGTTTGCTGCATCGCCGATGGCTTACGTTAGCGGCACACTTACTGCCTCGGAACGCAGGAGGAGGTATCCACACAGAATCGTAGCGTCACATATTGTAGGACGGGGCATCTTTCAGGGTAGGAGCTGACTTTATAACGATCGCAGCCTCTGTTCCTGCATGTTGTGGAAGCCAGAGCTGCCGCGAGCGCAGCCATCGTTGATGCAAAGGCCATGCGACTTTTGGCGCATTCTGAAGAGAGCGCCTTGAGACTTTAGATCTTTTTGAAAATTTTCGATTTGTTGCCGCTTTAGGCATTTTATTTAATTGTCCTTGCTATTTCGCTGTCGAAGACGACACGTGTACGTTTTATAATTATTTTTTTTTTAATTTCTTTCTGCGCTCAGTGGTGTACGCTTGGGCGAGAGACGCTTGGCAACATTGTACGACAACCAGCGAACGTCCTGGCTGGAGAGTAGGTCCGCCTCACCTTGGCGCGCGGTTCGAGGTTAAGCCGGGATCCCACTTGCAAAGGTGTATATCGAAATATAAATTTCAAATTATTAAATGAAAATCCTAAATATTGAAAAGACCTAAGGAAAATACAAGATTTCAACGCGGAACGTGAAAGAACACGAAAACGAAGCTCCGATAGTTGCCTGCGCAGCACACAACGAGTAGCAACGGCGGGAAACTGAAGGTCGGCTATGGCGGCCCGGAAAGCGCGCGAAGGGCGCGCCGACTGGTGGCAGCTCGAGTAACTGACTCGCTGAAAGCGTCTATAGGCTAAATTTTACACTGGCCGGACTCGGTCAAAGGTAACTTTATCCGAAGAGGTGGTTTATGTCGGGAAATGTTACAATAAAATCCTCGGCAGTGTATTCCGCTTTCATTGCTGTTTTTGGTAAGTAGACATTCCGGAAGTCTAAACTACGCGATTCTCGTGTGCCTCTTTCACGCAACGCGAAAGTAATGAAATGAAAAAAAAAAAAAAAAAAAAGTATAACGAGGTGATTAACCGATTGCTCTCCATGGCAAGTTATTTGTAACGGTATAATCGGTCGGGTTTCGACGTTCGGTTCAGTTCTGTAGAGTAAGGGGCGCATGTCCGCTCCCAGGTGGCGACGCTGTCCGGCTGCGCCGAGTACGCGGACGTGCAGCTCCGCACCAGCGAGAAGGCGGCCCTGAACAAGCTCAACGGCACCAAGCGGGCGCCGGGCATCCGGTAAGCCCCAAAGAATCATCGACGCCGCTAACAACTCGCTTATCGTTCCGCGTATGAACACCTTTTTTTTTTTTTTTTGTCATGACCGGACATAAACGTTTTACAGCGGTAGCTGTTAGTGTCATCTTTCGCCGAAAGCTGGTGACGTTCGTATGTAATTACCCGAGTGATTGTGGGGAGAAAGGAATATAGCGCCCACTGCGCTATCACTCTCCCTCCATCGCCGTCTCCTCTCGCACAACCAAGACAAGTGTAGTTAGACGCATCAGCGCTCCCCCCCCCCCCCCTCGCCCTCCACGTCGGTAGTCGGCATTCCCCCTCGCCACGCCACGCCGGTAGTCTGGAAGGTTCTGCGGCTCGTCTACGATTCACTCTTCGTCTGAGGAGAGGGAATGTCATGCACTGAGCAGAGTAGACGCAGGGCTTACTCGGCGGGATTAAAGCGAGGGGCGCAGGGCCCCGACTATCACGTTTGAGAGCGTCACGTACACATTTCCTAAACACATCTCCTACGCCAATTCTACTAAAAGCAAAGCCACTAATACGAATATATAAAGTACATCGACTAAAGGCAAATCTCTTAAAGAACATAAGGGAACACCACTTGCCGTTGCCAAAAGCAGTAAACTTGATATGGTCGTTTGGAATTTGTCTTTCCGAACCGTTTGACGAGAAAAATGAACAGATTCACACCAAAACCAGACGACCGCAGCGAGGTACTGTGAAGAAGTCTAAAGTCTCCTGATACTTTATTTTTGACGAGTGTGTTTTATAACTAAAACACACGACAAAGCCCATTTTGCGGGAAGAAAATGAAACCTTGTAGTTCATCCTGCTGCTGTGTGCCGAGATTAGCTTCTCGAAGTCTGCACCGCCAGGCAGTCGACACTTTAAAAAATAAACGGTACTCGAAAGGTACGCAGTGTTTTAGAGCGCAGCTCTTAGGCGCCCGTTTCCGGCTTGAGCGGCGTCGCCGTCGCCGTCGGCGTAACCGCGCGGTGCATTATGGGTAAATTTCCCCGCTAAATCTAGCGGAAAAAATTTCCCCGCTAAATCTAGCGAAAAAAATTTCCCCGCTAAATCTAGCGGAAAAGTTTCCCCGCTAAATCTAGTGGAAAATTTTCCCCGTCAAATCTAGCGGAAAAAATTTCCCCGCTAAATCTAGCGGAAAACTTTCCCCGCTAAATCTAGCGGAAAAAATTTCCCCGCTAAATCTAGCGGAAAAAATTTCCCCGCTAAATCTAGCGGAAAACATTTCCCCGCTAAATCGAGCGGAAAAAATTTCCCCGCTAAATCTAGCGGAAAAAATTTCCCCGCTAAATCTAGCGGAAAAATTTCCCCACTAAATCTAGCGGAAAAATTTCCCCGTCAAATCTAGCGGAAAAATTTCCCCGCTAAATCTAGCGAAAAAAATTTCCCCGCTAAATCTAGCGGAAAAAATTTCCCCGCTAAATCTAGCGGAAAACTTTCCCCGCTAAACCTAGCGGAAAAAATTTCCCCGCTAAATCTAGCGGAAAAATTTCCCCGCTAAATCTAGCGGAAAAAATTTCCCCGCTAAATCTAGCGGAAAAATTTTGGTCACGTGACCCGGGGGGTCACGTGACCTCTGAGGGGGCACGTGTTTGCCCCCACGTGACCCCACCAAGGTCACGTGTTCTCGGGGGGGGGGTCACGTGACCCCCCCCCGAGAACACGTGGCCCTCAGTACCCTCCCCTCCTCCTCCTCAAGAGCTGCGCTCCAATTCGGCGTTACAGGGAGTGGTAAATGACTCACTTTTTTTTGTTTTTTTTAAACTAGGGGCTTTAACGTCGTCGTTTATGAGAGTAGCAAGAAGTCACTCATTGCGACTATATTGTAGGGACTGGAAACACCGATATGCGAATCCACTGTCGGCAGTAGAAAAAGAAAGAAAAAAAAAAAGCGCGCGCTAGCTATGCGCTCACGCGCTCACGAAGATCAGTTCCTGACGGGACACCGCTGAAACAGAACGTGTTTTGGAACGCCCGTCTCCTGCCTGTTTCGTTCACCACAATATATTTATTCAAAGAATTCATAAATGAAAAGGTTGTAGTGTGGCAGTGATCATAAAAAATTTCATTTCTTGAGGTGTATTCTTTTATTAACAAATCTTGACCTTAGAGTGCACCGTGTCGTCACCTCGGTGGAAGATGACGTGTTTGAACTGCGCCGCGTCGCCATGAAACACGTTTGTCGAAGGTTTGCTCGCGTTCTTGGCCACCGCCGTGAGGTTCGCAACCTGACAGGAGCTCGAGGAATCGTATTGAAGCCCGCGCGGCTTGCAGAGATGCCTAAACCAACGACGCCCCAGATGGGACAGGCGCGAAGCCCGAGCGAACGTTTGCCGCTTCTCTCCTCTCTCTCTAGTTGTCACCGCGCGTGGCCTTGCAAATGAGGGACACCTGAACACTCAATCTCCATACAACAAATTTCATGAAAAAACTTTTTTTTTTGTTTTTCTGTTGAAGAAATGTTGTTGAGAGTGTTTTCTTTTTTTACCATCGAAACAAATTCGTTCTGTTATAGTTGGAACCTCATAAATGGGGCTTGAGTAAATATAGTACATTTGTGCGCTTTTTTATGGGGTACGAGCTCACGGCCTCGTCGCCTGCCTTCCAGGTTCCCCATGAAGGGCAGGATAAAGACCAGAGACATGAAAGTCAACTGGTAAGGGAAACCCTCGTCACTCCGCAGTCCGGAGCCGCTAGGTGAAGCTGCCCCCAACGTCCGGTGTGATGCGCAGACAATAAACAAGCGTAATCGGGGCTATTCGCCGGAGGCCGTTAGCGGAAATAAAAACGACAGTCGTCAATATTTCTCTTCCAGCGGGGCACCGTCTTGCCGAGTGTTTTCGCTAAAGAAACTGTTGTTTTCTCAAGCTCGGTTATTCGACGAGCTCTGTTCGTGGATCGCTCTGCCTGGCTCTCTCTCCGAGTGCGGTGCGGAAAATTAGACGCGCGGGCGTCTCTTTCCAGAGTGCACTCTCCCAAAGTAAATTCAGTTCAATTCAATTCATTTTGTTTACTTCTGTATTACAAAAAAACGATGACAATGGAGGGAGGAAAAAAAAAGCTGCAAAAGAGTAGCTTCACGAATCCCCTTGCCCCCTACTGGCAAAAGAACCGGCAAAAAAAAAAAATGAAAAAGCTTATAGGGTAGGTATAAAAACGGACATCTTACCGAAGGTCCGCTATTTATGTGTCCCAAGACAACATTTTTTTTTTTTTTTTTTAGCAAAGCGTGCAGCGCCGTCCTCTGCGCCGAAAGAAATGCCGTGAACGGCCTGTATACAGAACCGGCCGTGACAGTAGCCGGAGGCGATATTGGAGGTTAAAAAATACAAGATACGCGTGCGAGAAACTCCAATTGCGCGTCCTTCTCTCTGTCTCTCACTTCCTTTGATGACACACGGTGTCATAGGCTTAGGTAAGCAGGGATTGCCACGGCTTAGGCAAGGAGAAGCGTAAACAAAACATTTCCGTAACTCGTGGCGCCTTCTTCGCACGCGTACTTTTATAGAAGCTTTTTTTTTTTTTTTTTTTTTTTTTTACAAAAACATGTCTAAGTCGGGGTTCCGTACCGCTCGTGCGTCGTATACAAAAGACGCGGTGTGCACAACACAGACGCAACAACATAACTACCTGCTCACGCCCCTCGAGCACGCCCGAAGTGCGCTTGCTTCATAGATATACGTATACACTTCGAACACATCGGCTGACAGTTCTGTGTGTGAAGAACAATGCGACAGGACGGTCGAGAAACACGAATCGAATATAGTGTCCGCACAACTGTCTTTCGTCCGTTGCGCTAGCAGTGTGAAATCGCGGCTGAAGTGCCTTGGGTCCCGCAAGTTTGTTGCAGGCGTCCCTGGGCTGCCTCCCAGTGACGGAGCCGTCGCTGTCGCAGGACTTGCCTCGGGTGCTCCGCGTCGCCCAGAGGCTGGCCAAAGGTATAACTCGCCTTGCCTCAGACTAAAAATACCACGGTTTCTGCCAGCTTGAGAAACCCCTAGGCGAGAAACTGTTCCCGTTTTTCGCTTCCTATATTCGTGCTTCGGCGTTCTTATTCGCTAGTGCCGCAGTTCCATTGGATGTGGAGCAATAATGAAACGCGGCCACTCGACACGCCCTGCGTTTGTTCGGCTGTCGGTGTCTGTATAGGATTCCCAGTAACTAACGGAAGATTTTCATTTTTGAGAGCATTTCTGCGAAAGAAGCACAAAAAGACGCCCCGATCACTCGTTAGAGGTAAAGTCACTGAATTGTGGGAAAGTAGCGCCATTGCATTTTCTGCCTGTTAGCCGGACACATAGAGTCACTAACGTACAGACGACCAGACTTCGCGAGGTGATTGGTTGATTGGTCTCATTTCCTTTGGCAAATCGCCATTTCGATCCATTTGAATCTTCGAAACTTCGTAAGGGTCGTTCCGAACCAGTCGCATCAGGATTACTAAAAAATGGAGTATTTTCGTAGAGAAAGCGTTTCTCGCCAATATAAGCACCTTTTACGTTGTGCATGCAATTCACTTATCAATCACACGCTTATCTCCACGGATCCCTTACAATGTTATTGTTGATTTTTTGAAACGAGAAAATTATCTTTCAATGACACCAAGCACCGGCGCCGGTTGTGGCGGTAGGGCGAAGATGTACGCTTTTTTCGACGGTCCGCTGATAACAAAATCTCGATATCAGAGAATTGTATCTGTAACGCTACCCGTCACAAACAAATTTCGATCGGCTCATAAAGAATGAAGTGGTCATGAAAAAGCTATTCATTCCACGAGCCAGAACGGTAAACATACGTGGAGCTTGGCGCTACTTTGCCAGCATCCAGTGACATTAGGGAGTTTTAGGGAACCGTTTTTGCACATCCGATTTGGTACGATGGGCCCTCCGGTACGAACTGCGCATGCGCGAGTCTTCTGTGGTAGCACATGCGCAATTCGTACCGGAGGGCCCATCGTATATCATATCGGATGTGAAAAAACGGCTCCCTAAAACTCTCTATTCGCTAAACTCCTTTCACCTCTAAGCTAACACTGCAGCCAATGTCACAAGCACGGGAACGCGAGGTCGCTGCTTTGGAAAGTTTTTCCACAAAGTGAGCACTTGCGCTGTAGAAAGGAACGTCTCAAAGCTAGGAGCACGGGCTAGCTCGCGCATGTAGCTTTGGCTGCAGCGTCAGCTTAAGAGGAGCGTATTATAGAATCAGCATCCAAGCTGAAACTTGACTGCACTAAACGAGCGGAGTGCCACGTGAAGTCGAATCTCCAGCGCGCGATCGCCCCAGACTTGGCAGGCTTTTTGTTTTTAAACACAGTTTAAGCTAAGATGTTGACTCTGGTGGGCGGACCCTTGTGACATCGTACAAACATCTAACTCACCGACAGGTTGTTTTGAGGTTTATAGAAAGGTGGAAAAACGTTTTAAGGAATATTTACGTGGGTGATGGTTTTCGGGGAGGGATGTACGTGACGTCAGTGATTGGCGGAACCAGTGGGACTCGCTCCTCGACTTAAGCATCCACAGAAACGGCGGGGAGCCGAGAGTGATATGTGATAAGTGATTTCTTATTTATCGATACTGTCGGCCCTTTACAGGGCCTTTACAGAAACGAGTGCGTATCGGGCGGTGTGCCATGCAAAGCAGAGAAGTAAAAACCCTTACGCGAAGTGCGCCTGCTTGCCCACCGCCGTGTACGTTAAGTACACGGTGGTGGATGAATGAATGGATGGATGTTAATGGCTATACCTTTTATAACAGGCGGTAGCTTGCGTCACCTAGCCTAAATCTAAAAAGGAAAACATATGATTTATCCTGCCTTTCTAAGCACATTTTCTCCCCCTAACTCTCACAGGGGAGTGTAGAATCTCACCAGGATGGCCTTTGGGGTAGGCAAGCAGGAATGTCAGTGTCATCAGATGCATTTGGGGGTCGCCTTCTCGGCAACAGGGCACGATGCGCGCCGACGGGAGTAGAAAAATGAAGGCGTCCATAGACCGGCGATACGCGATTATAGCAGCAGGACTGTTAGATGCAGAAAACAACAAACTGCTTCCTGCTATAAAACGAGAAAAAAAAAAGCAAGAAAAAGCTTTTTGAATGGGTGGACGCAATACAAAGAACGTGGAATTCAAAACTTGTTGTATGAGGAGCGGCTTGAGGACGGCATCGATGAATATCGAAGACTCCTTTGGGTGCCCCGGACGATATGCGCAGCAACGCAAGCCACAAGTTAGGCGACCCCGATGCGACCGCCGGTGTCCCGCTGAGTAAGATCTGTAAAGTTGCCAGACACGCGAACAAAATACCGCTGATTGCGAAGAGATCCCACGCCAAGGAGGGGAGGTTATGGTGCAGCCTGAGCAAAAGCTCGGGCTACGTCAGCTCGGTCTGACGTAAACGTCCCCATGGGATTTCTACGCCAGCGCGGCTTCGCGCAAAATCATGACTTTTTTACTACATGACGCGCATCCCGGTGAGCTAGAAAGGGAGGGGATGTCTCCCCCGTGTGAATACCTTTTCATAGTGCACCTAAAACTTCTCTATTTGAACTCCTCCTCCTTCTTGTTGAATGAGGTCTTCGTCCCCGCGACAGTTGTTTCTTCAGGAAGTCGGGTGTCTAGATAGTCAAGCTAGACACCCGATCTGCTCAGCAGTCAACAGGTTGATCTGCTCAGCAGTCAACACATCTATGCATTGGGCCCTGGGGTTTCCGCAGTGCTGCTGGAGTTCCTGCTGCTCCGGACCGAGTGCGGCTTCGGCGCGCTCCTGCAGGCGGTGGTCCTCCACAAGTGCATCCAGGCCAGACTGTGGGAGGACTCGCTCCATGTCGCCAGACAGATCGACAAAATCGGTGCGGCGACTCGTATCGCTTTTGCTCTAAAGACCAGTATGCCCCCGCATCTCTATAGTTACTCTGAGAGCACTCGTCAAGCTGGTCACTGCGATCTCCGGAAGAGCTCTGCCAAACGACCGTGCTCAGAAAAACCACACATCCACTTAGAAACTGACATGACTGGTGTACCTGCTAACGTCGTTTCTAACTCCTGGTACGAACTCTCGTGTTTGGGTCAAGCCACCTATTAGGCTTCACCCTTCGCTAGCCGATTTCCGTGGACTTTACCACAGCGATTGGCTATCCAAGTGCTACACGAGCAAGGAGGCACGCAGGTGCAACACCTGCTAGATAGCTAGACCGTACACCGCTGGATTTTCTACGTGAGCTACGAGGGATCAGCGCGGGGTAAGCATTGAACACGAGTGCCGCGTCATCGGTTGGAAGAAGCTCGCGTTCGGTCAGCGAGAACAGTCAGTGAGAGCCTTGCTATCTGGGAGGCGTTGGCAGGATATCTTGCAGAGCACATCCGGCGTCCTCGGCGCTTCGAGAGTTCTTGAGCAGGATCACCCGCCACGCTCGCAGGGGTGGCGCTGTCCAGCGCGCTACTGCGAGCGGGAATCACCAGCCTGGACAAGCTGGTCAGCACCAACCCGAGGGAGCTGGAGCTGGTGAGACCAACGCCTCGGATGACGTCCTTCCCGCATTCAGAAATGCCCCCGCGTAATAGCCTGCACGGCAGTGCACTTGAAGCCGTACTCTTATTCACCCGCTTTTGGTGTCCATTCTTTCCCGCGCTGAAGCTGCCTGACCATTAGAGAGCGATTGCCTCCCCCCCCCCCCTCCTCACTGACTTACCTAGAAGTAAGAAAATGTTTTCGGCAGTAAAATTTTTGAAGATTAAAGCTTATTGTTCAAAATCCTAACCCCCAGCGATAAAAATGGGAAATAATAATCACAAACGGAGGCTCTTCTGAAGAGAGGGGCTGCGCATAAAACAAAATTTCTGCTTTTTACAGCACTCCTGGCATCGGTGTTGTTCTTGAAACTTTGTGACCATGCATTTTTGACGTTCTTGCACTCCGATATATCCAAAGGTTTCTAAAAAAAACGGAGTCTTGAAAAAAGCGCTGCCCCCCCACTGTGTCACGGCGTTAGCATAAACAAACCTGGCGGCGTTCTTGGAATAGAGCAGACACTGGTGTATATTTTTAGATTTTATAGCGAAGATGTATATGACTCACTGGTCGGATTTCTGGAATTGTTTCGTGTCGTCGTCCTCACGGAAAAAAAGAAACCTTCAACGATTGAAGCGAAAAGTGCATACCAAGCATACAACATAGAGCACAGCATTCGTTTCAAAAAGACCAAGCACAAAACAAGCATCTGAGCCAGATAATTTACGATGAGGTGCTCCTGATAACAATGCAAAGCGGTTGCGCTCACCGCATACATTTCCCGGTAAAGATTACTGTTGCGCAAGCTGCCGTGTCGACGGCAGCTGCGATGTGGGGAGTGACGTCACTAGCCTTTCATATGTATAAAGATTTGGTCATAGAGTTACTATAATGCACGCTAGAGGTTCAAGTGGCGCTAGTGTGCTGTTGCAAATTGAAGCAGACAGCAACCAGTCGAAAACTGACTTCCTGTAATGCATTTCTATGGGAAAAAGTGAGTGCATTTTCTTCTTGCAGTCGGCTATAGACCAACACGCGGCTCTGACGTCACACTCCTGCGGTGGCGCTATTGTCGCCACGGCGCATGCGCAGAAGCTTCACCTCATGCGAATATGGTTTCTGCGCTTGCGCAGTGCCCACACCTGGTGTGGGCAAATGCGGGCTTGTTTGTAAACAGCGTGTCGGTCTATAAGACGAAATATCCCGAATAATTCGTACGTACTAGGTAGCATGGAACTCTCCTCAGTCAGGCAGACGAAATAATTGGTCAGCTACCATGTTTTTTTTTTTTTCAAATTAATTGCATTAAAAACGGTGCTAAAACGAATTCGTACATGGATTTATGTGCACTTTCGGACACTGTTAGCGCGAACACGACGTCGGCGCTTTTTAGCATAGGGGATATACGTGCCAAATGAACGAAGGGCATCTGGAAAACTGAGACGGCAAGAACTACGCAGTAACACTGGATCAGTAGCTCCCTCCGCATGTACGATCAAAATAAGTTGAAGGCCAGGTAATATAGTCAGGTTTTCAATAAGTACTGGTTTATTTTTTCTGCTCTGTACGAATATGCTTGTTGTACGTTCAAAACATCACCCACACGTTCAAAAGCTTTGATAACAAGTGCCCGATAAAGACTGCCCGGCAGAGAAAATATTAGAAAGAGACGCCTTTCATACTCCACGTATTTTGTTCTTTACGTTTTGAATGTTTTTAACCGCTCGTAAAGATGCATGACGGGGTCATTTTTATATACTCAGAGGACTGACATATTAGCAATATATAAGCATCACCGGAATGCTGGCGAGCCTTGAACATCCTCTATATTCCTTTCGACTGTTATTTTGCTTAGAATCGTCGCTTGTTTTGCACACCTGCTCTGATGAACTGTATATAATAAACTAGCGAAACCAAGTAAACAACGCTGTGAAAAGAAGAGATAGAGGAGGGAATAGGGGCAGCACGAGAAGAAGGAAAAAAGGTAGGAAGAGATGTGGAAGGTCGAGGTGGATGCAAGAGCAGGCTTTCATGGCTGGGCAAAACACGTATGGTGCCTGGAAGGCCTCTCCAATTGATAAACGAAAACAGAGTGAGAGAGCAGGCAAGCAGGCGGAAGTTGGTGTAAAATGGTAAAAGAGTTCAATCGATGTTTGTAACGACCCCGAAGAGGCAACAGTACACGTACACGAGCCACCGGTGCATACCGTGGAACGCTATGGGTTGTTGCGAGTCTGGCGGTTGGTTGCAGAAGGGCCGGCGCAGAAGACAAGAGAACACAGGCGTCAGTGACGTCACAAGCTCCCAAGCTGTGGCTGATTTTTTTTTGCCAACCGTTGAGCTGCAGAACAAGCAGAGGAATAAGTGCATCCAGCCCCGGCACTGTGCCGTCGCCAGGAGTGCTGCAAACCACAGCACTCCTGGCGGTGGCAGGAGAGGAGCTCCATTACAAAATTGTCACGTCAGCAGGTGGACGCGTCACCAGCAGGAGAGGAGTTCCAGGTACGTTGCACGTATGGGTATCTCTGAGGGTGTACATGAACTCCTCCAGGTGCTGAACCGACACCCGCCCTTTGGGTCGCAAGTCTTGCAGGCGGCTCGCAGTCTGCCCAAATACCGGTTGCAGATTGTGCAGGTGGGCAAGTATTTTTGGCCAACTTGGATTTGCTATGTGGTTTTAAAAAGGAAACGAGCCATTAGGCAGTTTTAGAGAGCGCTTCCGACAGGAACGGTTCGTCTTCGAACAACTCGCCGACGCCACTGCGCCTGCGCGCGAGAACTGTTGACGACCTAGGGAACTGTTAAATATTCCTAGATTTTTAATCATCATTAGTTCAGGGCGCTCGAACTGTTCTTCCGAATCGAAACGACCCGGAGGAGATCTCAAGATGACCGTCTCGACGGTGACGCAATTCGTGAGGTAGTGGAACTTAAGACAGCAAAACGCAATCTGTCGTCCTAGTAGCCTCCGATTTATATAGGAGCACGAATCAGATCTGTTAGAGAACGGCTGACGTTGTAGATAGTGGAAAGACACACCACCAGTCTTCTCCGATGTCGAGCAAGAAGCTCGAACATAAAAGTCTCGCCCTGCACTTCTTCAACTATCTGTGACGATAGGCGGTCTGAGCGGCTGCCTCTCTCGCAGGAGGGTGGTCCCAGCAACGATGTGGCTACGGTGCAGCTGTCCGTCGAGGTGGGCTGCCTTGGCGAGTCCATGGCCGAGCCCGGCTCCGGACGCTTGTCCTTGGCGCCCGCGTACCTGCTCGTCGGAGACGCTGACGACCGCCTGCTGCTGCACCAGTGCATCTCGTCAGTGCCCTCTCGCACACACTCTGCCTAACCCCGCCGTGAAAAAACGGCATTTTTTTCAGCGAGGGCAACATACTTTCTGCCTCGTCATTCGCCGTGTTTCCTCCGTACATTGGAGAGATTGGCTTTACGAAGTGCTTTACGGGAAAGTAGACGCTGTGTAGAGAAGATTACTCTTGTTTAAACTTTAGGTGTGCATTGAACTATATTTTCAGTAAAGCTGGGGCTACACTTCTCATCCATCATACAAAAACAGTCTGCAAGTAAGAGTCGCCGTAATATACGTGGTTCGAATGCCGCGTGCCAAGCTTCTCCTTGAACTCATTACCATACGACATCGAAACACGGATCTCGCGGTGACTCGCGTTTGAATCTGTATGCTGACTGCCTTTTGCATTATGTATAAGCAGTGTGACGCCCCCTTAAATAAACTAAATTGCACATAAAGTTCCTCATACACAACACCTTTGCGGGGCCGGTAATGAACATTTGGGAAAGGAGGGGGGGAAGGGGTGCGCCCCTGGGTACCGCCCCGATCTAGCTAATGAGGAGGATCACGTGGGTTGTCTTTCAAGTCTAAACGGCAGAAGGGAGTCCCCCTCTTTCAGCACGGAGACTACGGTGCCTGGAGGCTGGAACCCGTCTTCGAGTGGCATGTTTAGCGTCCTGTACCACACTTGCATCAAAAGCGGTCCCCAAGTAGAAACAAACGACGCCACAGCACTCCCATGAACCGGCTTGTCATGCTGATGTATGTCCCGATTTTTGGCAGTTGGCGGTTGAGGTTCCAGCAAAAAGTAGGACCGAACGCGAGTGTCGCAGTCGGTGCAGTCCATCAGCTTGTTCGCTGAAGGCGCTTCCGTGAAAGCCGCGGTCGCACTGATGATTCTAACGGCAGTCTGTAGACACTGTTTGTCTTCCTTGTATGGCGGTCCTGTTAAGTTGGTTATACAAAAACTATGCTTCGAACATGCTTTAGGCGTGTCTGCAGGTAGACCTATCATCGTGTCAACATCATGTTTTTTTTTTTGTAAGATGTAGGAGCAGTATGACCGCGGATTAAAGCAAAAGAGCGGCACAACAGCTTAACAGTAGTCTGTCATTCCCGCCTCCGTTGCTATGCCACCTCCAGGATCGAGAGAGGCAACAGCAGGACACTTTCATGACCTATTCAGGCTGAAATGGGGGGACCACATTTGAGAACGCGGTAAAGACACCATTCGGAGACCCGCTCCAGACACTGTAGTCATACTGAGACTGTG